AGGCCAATGAAAAAACAAATCCAGAGGTTCTCTGCTAGGAACAGTTCCATGGAGGTGCTCACTCCAGGAACTCTTAGTGGTTCCAACAGCCTCCAAATCCATGAGCTGTCTATTAGAGAATGAAGAAGCCACTGCCAAACCTGGTAAAATTCTATATATTCAACAGGTGGCTTGGGAATGGCTGTCAGGAATAATCTGTCGCTCTGCTGATGCTGAGCTGCATGTTTGCAAAACAAGCAGTGGATTATTTATAAAAAGCAGGTGTTTCCTTGGCTTGTAAAGCCATTTAGCCTAACTGGTTCCTGATCCAGCAGATAAGCACATTTAATCAAACAGTGACATTTAAGGTTCCTACCTATGATTTGTTTGATGTTTAAGTATCCTCAGAGGCAGCAGCCACTGCAGACTCATAAAGATTATTAGATAATGGAAGGTTTTTAAGTGAACAGATTGCAGCAGGGACTTCATGATTCCTGTACTTGTTTTAGTATTTTATGGGCCAATCCATCCTGGTTTATGGATTTATACCCACAGATTATTCACTGGTGTTTTTTCTTCTCATCCTTTCTCAAAGATTTGAGTTTGAAAACAGTTACAGCAGAATTTATGAACCAACTGCTGTCAAGTTATCTATAAAAAGAAAAGCTCTGCTTCCTTGTTTGCTGATGGAGAATTCCAATTTCCCTCCCTGGGCTCACTGGTTGGAGGCACTGCTGACACTCTCAGCCCATGCTTAGGAGATTTCTCCTAAAAGATCCTCAAACCTCAGTCAAATTGTGCCAATATATTTTTATTTTGGCCTGCAAATCACTCCAATGCCGGATTTCTCTTGAGTTCAACATTTATAAAACCCAAGATTTGACTAAAAAGACAAATGTAAGCTAGGTTTAAACCAAGGCAGATCCTGGAACAAAGAATGTTTTGACTTCAAGTCAGCAGAAGGAACTAACTCAAACCAAAACCTCTCTACAATTCATGTCACAAGTGCTATTACCAAGTGACAAGTAGCTGGGATCACAATCCATTATTTTATGTTATAAATTTGCCACATTTGGCAATGACATGTTTGAGTAACACATCCTTTCAATTAAACAGGCATCTAAGGCACCCTCTGGCTGCACATGAGTTGCACATATAATGTCACTAAAATTGAAGTTTAATTTGAAGCCTATTGATGTTCTGAGTCTAAAAGAGCAGGCAGGATTTGCAAAGTGCTTTAAGATGAAGTGTTTCTGATGAAAATTACATTTTTTACTTGAAGTTTCTGCTGTAAAAACGATGCCTGTTGACAATATCTAGAGCACACGTGGGGAAGGATGGAATGGAGATACCCTGGGGGAGAAGGAGGGTGGGAGAACAGGCAGAGGTCAGGCCAGGTTTCATTCAGCTCATTTTCCTTTCAATAACAGCAGCTGCCACCACGAGCAGTGTACACACACAGAGGGTGCTTTTTTTGGGAATGCCATCCCAGCCTCCATCCCCTGGCAACAGGTTCCTAAATCAGAGGTGATATCCCTGCCCTTAAACAGCTGTGCTTAAAATCCTACTTGATTTTGTGCATTTATTTTTTTCCAAACTTTGTGAAGTGCTTGGATTCCTAAATTTTACTACTTGGAGGTTTCAAAATTTCAACCTTTAAGTCCTGTACAGAACAAAATTGTGCAGAAGATGGGAGATTTCCCTGGGAATATTACCTGTTTCTCATACACACGCTGCATGCGAAGCTTGTCCTGCTGAACCTTGTATTCTTGTTCCTGCAGAAGAAAAGATGTGGATTCTAAATCAAAAAATCCCGTTTTTCTTCCATTTCAGAGCATTCATCAAACACAGACATTAGCTATCATATAGGACAGTTCATAACAAAATAAAAACCAACTTTGTATCATCATGAAAAAATTCTCTGACATAGAAGAGAATTTAACCAACACCAAATAACACAAGTATCTCCCAAGTCATGATTCATGTTTGCTAAAGAGAAACAGCAACTTGTTCTCCTGAGCTATTAAAATGCCATTCTGTACTATATCAACTGTGAAATGAAAGACATTGGAAGAAAAGTAGATGCCAAAACTCAACCAGGACTGATACACGATACAGATGTGGAACTCATTACTCTGATATGGAAGGATTAATTTAAATGCCTACAGGAAGACAGAATATTGAACTGAACTATTAAACAGTGCAAATTAAAAACTATTTTGAAACTTTAAAAATGTTTACAGTTTATGAGGAAAAAAAAGACATTCATCATTCTTTGTCAGGCCTCTTTGTAATAGACCAATAGAGATTTAAACTCTTATTTAATATTTGAACTTCAGAAAAATTCTGTGGAAATTCTGCTCTTACCTCTCTTTTAGCCACACTTTTTAAATCAGCCTTTAACCATAGGTGAAATTTCATATATTTCCATTCATAAAATAAAAACATGCAAGCACAGTATACAGAAGTACATTTGAGGATGGATATCTAAACTTTTAAATCATGAAATAAAGTAAAAGGAGTTGGTCATTTCTGAGAAAGAAAGTCAGGGCTCACCCTCAGCTGTTGCTTCCTTTGATGTTCAGCATCTTGCAATTGTTGTTTCAGCAGAGCCGTTTCACGGCGTAATTCTGCAATCACATCACATGTCTGCTTGGATTTAACAGAAAAAGCAGTTTTTGTCTTGGACTCCTCATTAGCTCTTTTGCATTTTTCAATTTATTTCTCTAAAGTTTCAAAAAACTGGAAAATTATCAGCTTGGGAGAAAAAAACCTGTATGAGTTTATGGCTCTGTATCAGTTTGGGCCCTCTGGTGAGCTTAGAAATGGAAACAACAGCACAAAAAACCACCCCTAATAATAAAAAATCCCTACTAAAATCTACTAAAAATTGGTAGAAAGAAAAATACTTTGTAAATGAAATGGAGTAAAGTATCGTCAAACCTCAGAGCATTTCAGTAAATAAACACCAAACACCCCACTTGTCCTATGGCTCTATGGATTAACAAATGGTATTTAAAACAAGTCTTTTCTACAATTATTTGACTTTAAAATCACTTTAAATATGTACCATCTCTACCCATGCATATTGGAAGATATCAACCTGACAGATGCTTTTCCAGAAACAAACCAGAGTTATTACATTTTGGGTGAAACCTACACTTGCAAAATATAAAATTATTTCCTTAAACACATAATTATTTAACACAATGTTCAATACTATGAGGCCTGCAGGATTATGTTTCTCTGGAAAAAATATTTCCTGTCATGGAAGAGGCTTTATGAAAACATTAACTCTTCAAGGGTGTATCCAGAATTTTTACAGGAGCACAAACAAAATCAGCATATTAATTGTACCTTATCTGAATCAGCTGTAGAAATACACACACACCAGAATGACCAACCAACTTCAGATGATTTTTCAGTCAAATTTGGGAATGAAAAATTAAATCCCAATTTTATTTAAACTTATAGTCAGGACTAACTTGGGGAACTGAGCAATTCCTTGGATTTATTCATAAGCTTCATATTGATAGTGATGAGAAGAAGAAATAAGATTTAAGACTTAAGAAATAAACCCCATTTTCCTGCCTGTTACACCTGGCAGCATACCTGAGCTTGTTCCTGCTTCAGAAAATCTCTATCAACCTCAAATTTACTTTGTAGATGCTGAAGGTTCTCCTTGTACTCCTGCATAATCTGGTCCTTGTCTTTCTGAAGTAACTTGTACCTACACGGAGCAAGCAAACAGAATATGGAAATTGCTTTCAGATTTTGGCATTTTACCTGCTCAGTATCAATTCCACGGAGTCTGCACGTCTGCCACGTGCTCTTGTCACAGAATGAGCTGCTCATAAATAATGGAAAGGAAAGACACTCCTCAAGGTGGTCGTTTGGGTCACTTTAAAGGAGTTTGACACCAATTAATATATTTTCAAGAGAGTTTTCTAATGTCAAATGCCATTCAGTGTGTTCCTGGAACAAAATTAATAATGTTTGCTTCTGGAAATTCCATATTTTTACGAGTTTAACTACTAATTGTGATTGAATTACCTTTCTGTCAGCTCCTGGAGCTGGGAGCAGACCTCCTGGTAGCGCAGTTCTGTCTCAGTCTTCTCCTGAGATAATTTCTGACGCTGTAAATTGCTGTTTTCAGCCTCAACAGTCAACTGCTGCACACGGGCCCCCAGCTTTTGGACTGTCTCATTCTGAAATAGAGAATTATTGAGAAAAAAGCCCAGAATCAATGAGGGAATGCCCCAGTTGTTGTTCAGTAGCCTTGAGCAACGAGGTTCTCTGATGATGCAGAGACACAAGAGTTGCAATGGCAAAGCTGTCATCAATCATGACAGTAAATTTTTATACATTATATAAAAACAAATATATCTTCAAAATGCGGGTGTTTATTCCCCCTCAAAGTGACATCTCCCTTACACAGAACAGCATATGCAACTGATTTCTAAATTACAAACCCTTTCAAATGGGAGAGAAAACAATATTTCAATGGAAAACCACAATGGATGATAATATATACAAAGCATTTTTAGACTTTCCAGAAATCTCATTGCAATAACTTTCAGTAAATTACAAGCATCTCTCAGAAGTTGTATCTTTTTCCTGGAACTTCATCTCATGATATAAACAAATGTAAAAATGAACAGAATAAGGACAGGCAGGTAGCATGAGACTGCTCTAGGCCTTCCCATTCTTCCCTAAATTTAATAAATTTATGGTAATATGCAGGGAAATGAGGGAAGAATTCCTCAGGAGGCTGGGCTCAGAAAATCAGACCCAGAGTAGGTATCAGAGTTATTTTTATATTAACAAAGGCCTGAAGATGAGGGAAGTGGAACAGAAATTTCACCCACTCATAAAATAAAATAAACCCCCAAATATCTGCCCTGTGCACGCCTGCCCTGTCACTGGAGGTGACAGAACCTGACCAAGACTTGGGTTTTTTGTTTGTTTTGTGGTTTTCTGGGGTTTTATGTTTCTTTTTTTTTTAATAATTAAAAAAGGAGTAATTTTTAATATACCACTGAATACAATTCCTGGCTGGCCTCATGTCCCTCAAGGAAGTTCATCCTTGTTCAGGGTACAAACCCTTTCTTATCAGCTCTATGGCATTAATGAAATTATTCAGCCAATTCCACTTGCTAACAGCACTGGCATTCCTGACAACATGAAACTCTGAACAGGGAAACTCTGAAATACCAACAGAAAAAAAAATTTAAAAATCAGGAGAGAGAAAGAAGAGAGAGAAAAAAAGAAAACTAATTTCCAGTGACAGTCTAGTCTTTCATCTTAAGCCCTGCCTTGAACTCTACCTTGTTTAATTATTAAATCAGAAGCTGCTCGGCAAGATCTGTCTAGTTTTGATGGTTCTTAAATTCAATCTTGCTGACAGACTGTGTCCATTTTTCTCTGTATTTACTGTTACCTATGACATGATCTGAATGTTAATTTTTAAATTCAACATTCATTAATAAAGGAATAAATTTTGTTTGACATTGTCTTTTCACTTATTCAATTTTCCTCGTACTTCATCCTGATGAAAAGTACAGGATGCTTTTTTGAGGTTACTTGTTAATTTTTTTGCTTTTTGCATCATTTCTATAACAGGCACAAAATCCAGATTATACCTAATTACATGCTTATAATTACTCTAAAAAAGAAATGCAATAAATTAGAATAATCAATACTTATTTTAAAATCCTTTTAATGTCATCTTTCCTCCAACAGAGGTATTTGCTCAGTCAAAGAGGAGGTGGGTGAGTAAAAAATCACGTTTCTATGAAAATAGATGTAATATACAAATGATCTACAAACCTGCAAAGACAGAAGTTCTACTAACTTGAGTCAAGTATTTGTAATTAAGGATTGATTCCAAGATATCAGTGTAACACTGATTGAAGGGCTGTGCCTTGATTAATTTTATCTGGGGAATAAAATCCTTGGTTGGACTGGCTGCCAGGACAGTGCCCTCTCCAAGGAGAGAACAATTGCAGTATTGAAAGGAGGGATGTACATGCACGAATAACAGAATCATGGAATGGTTTGGGCTGAGAGGGATCTTAAAAACCACCTGATTCCAGCCCTGCCCTGGGCAGGGACTTCTTCCACCATCCCAGGCTGCTCCAAGCCCCATCCTGTAGCATTCACATTCTCTGGAAAAATCCCTTCACCCAGGATTTTCTCCTGGGAAACTGAGAAGCTTCAGGGAAAAGGAAAACAATTTTTATCTCATTTGCTTCTCCTGTGTTGTGCTCATGTGGAATGTGTTTGGAGATTGTTTACTCATGGGAGATTGTTCCGTTGGATTCTGGTGTGAATTGTTTTGACTCATTGGCCAAGCTGTGTCAAGACTCTGGAGAAAGTCAAAAGTTTTCATTATTATCTTTTTAGCCTTCTGTCTGTATTCTTTCGTATAGTTTAGTATAGCATTCTTTAATATAATATAGTATTATAAAACAATAAATTAGCCTTCTGAGAACATGGAGTCAGATTCATCATTCCTCCCTGCCACAGGGATCTCTGCACATACAACACCATCCAACCTGGCTTTGGGCCCTTCCAGTCCACCTGAACACAAACAAAATGGAATTTAACATTTTAAGAGACACCAGTGAGAGGCTCACAAGCCAACCTACAGTTGACTGTGTCTGCTGCAAATACTCCTCCTCCATCTTGGCCAGCCGGGCGTTGGTCTCCTCCAGCAGCTCCTGCATGTCCTCCGTGTGCTTCTTCCGGATGTTGAACTTCTCCTTCTCCATCTCAGCCACAGCATCGTGGAGCTGCACCACAAAAAAGGCCCAAAGTGACAAACGGCAGCTGCAGCATTGAGAAGTGTTAAATTATTACAGCATATGGGCAGAATCAGTGAAAAGCCCAGGTATTCACACTTCTGTCCTCTCTGAAAATATTGTTTCTCTAAAACAAAAAACATTGTGGTTGCCCATCCCTGGAAGTGTTCAAGGCCAGGCTGGAAGGGCTTGGGACACCCTGGAATATTGGAAGGTGTCCCTGCCCATGGCAGAGGTGGCACTAGATGAGCTTTGAAGTCCCTTCCAACCTAAACCAGACTATGAAAAAAAACCCAAACAAAAAAAACACCCAACACTGGAGCCTCAAGATCTCCATCACAAAGGACAATTTATAATTTATGATTATGACTTGCCTTTAAGAAGGCAAGAATTAAATCCAACTTCATTTCCACATACAGGGCTGCAAAAAAATTAAATTGTCCAGCAAACTTCATGAATGGAGGTGGATTTGTCCTTTCTGTGACCCTCTCTCTCCTGAGAGGGGGAAGCAAGACAAATGCTGACAATAATCCGGACAAAAGTGACACTGTCTCACAATAAACATGCTCTTCCCTTTGCTCTGCTGCTGTCTTGAGTTGAACAATAAATAAAAATACATTGAAGAATTCATGACCCATTGCAAGACTAAGAGTTCAAAGGAATCACCGTGACAGCAGGTAGCAGCAGGTTTATCCAGATTAAAATTCCGTGTCAGGTCAACCAGAAATAAACACTTCCCTAAGAGATCCAGAGGTTTGCCAGGAGGCCAGATGAACCTCAGGAACAGGGTGACCAGCTGGGTGCAAAAGCATCAGCAAAAAGAGTCTTGATTACTTCAGGAAAAAATAAAATCAGCACAAAAAACACCCCTAAAACATATTCTGCATATTTATTTTTTGAGTGGCAAAATGCATTATCCCAGATAAACACTGCAGGATCTGTCAAAGGAGGGAAGCATTGTTCATTACCCTTTTCTCCCACTCATTGTTCAGGCAATCATTGCTTTGCTCACACATCTTCCTCAGCTCTGCAATCTGCTGCTCTTTGGCTTCTCTCACAACTTGGGACTCACGAACGAGGGTCTGAACTGTTAAAAATGGGAAAAAAATTAAACAACCATTCAAGAAATTTGGGATTTTTCAGTGCTGGCAGTAGATTTAACCAGTTTATGTCAGTTTTCCAACTGACCTGGCTTTCTGATGGCTTTTAGCTCTTAGATACTAAATGGATGTGCTGCTTTAAGTTGTAGCACTTAAATTCTGTGTCATTACAACGTGTTGTCTCTTTTCTACTTTGTTTACAGAATATTTCAGAGAGAGTTTTCCTGCCTGAAGGAGTAAATATACATCAGCAAAACTCTGCATAACCTCAAGAAAATAGTTATTTTAACCTGATTTTATGAGCATCATTAGGAGAAAAGGTTCTTGTGAAGGTTGAATGTTCAAGACGTACATGAAAATTAAGTTGCCCAACTTGAATTACAAGTTATGGCATCACCATTAGTGGAAAAAGCAGGTCCATATTCACACTTCCACTTTGTTTTGAGGATTTTCATTACCTGGAACATTGTGGGCAACTCCATTTCAACCTGTTCCAGCCAAGAGCAACCACCAGCCCACAGAGAGGAGCCCCAGATCCTTTGTTGGACAAATTACTTTCCCAAGGAACAGGAAATAAAATACATGGAACACTCTTCCTTTTTGTCCATAGACTACCAAACTCCTGCATTATTTTCCAGTGTGGTTTAGTCCATAGTGTGAATGGACTCCAAGGAATTCTGAAAGAAACTAACACTGAAAAACTGCTGACAAGCCACTCTGAGGGTGAATTTTGGACTTGTGACACGCTCAAGAATATTCATGTTTGAAATCTCCTGCCGCAATACTCTTAAAAATAACCCGCTGTGGTTTGATTAAAATGTACTGAATGTATAAAAAAATGAACTTTGAGCCAGAGATTCCAAAAAAAAATGGAAAGAAGTGGCCAAAATATTTCAGTGGCATCAAAGAAACTTTTTTGGTGACGCTCATAAAACCTGCGTTCAGTGTAATAGATCACAGGCTCTTGGAACACTTGGGTTGGAACAGCAGAGACAACTGGACAAGAATCTCAGAATCCAAAGGAAAAAATTAAATCAAGAGCTACAAATGATGAAGAAAGGGATGTCTGCAGAAGGAACACGCAAGCCCACAGCCACAAGAGAATGTAGCACAATACCACCACACAGAAGACAACCACGAGGATAAAAATCACCTTTTTTCTCCAGCTTTCTTATCATATCCTCAGACTCTTTTTGTTTCTTTAGGTAGTTGGACTTCAGCACATCTATTTCATCATTCTTTCTATCCAAAATCTGCAGAGAAAACTCAAAATATTTTAACATAAGTCCAAAATATTCCAAACTACAACCAGTGCGTAAGATACCTGGTCTGCAAGAAGTCCTCAGGTCATGCAGGATTAAGTGATTGAACCTAAATCATTTTTCCAGCTACAATTGCCAAGCCATAAACAAAGAACTGGTTTAGACAAATGTAGGAAAAAGCAGATTAAAAAAGGAGTTTCATGTTTTAAGGTGAGTTTTTTTGGTTTTCCTTTAAACCTGGGCAAACCCAGTGCTGCTTTGGTTGAGTTTGGAAGTTTCATGCTGCTATTGCTGCAAACAGAAAAGATTTCCATACTTATGTTGCCTAATAGTATTTAAAAGCATCTAAAATTCTCTGCAGATTCAAGAAATATTTAAATAAGTTGGTGAACTTCATTACAGTCTTTTGTGCTTCACCAATTGAAATTCCTCACATGGATCCTAAGGAACAATGGACTGGAACAGAGCAAGTATAGGAGGGTAACTACACCCACATTTCTGTACAGGCTGAGTTTGGAAATAAAAAAGCTTGAATATTTGCACACTTTGAGATAGTATTTTAATTTAAACTTTGTGTTTAAGATAAAGATTAAAGTCGCAGAAATTTTATAACAGTGCCCCAAATCTCTTATCAAACAGAAGCTTTCATCTTAAAACAATATTACTCCATCTGCAATAAACGTTTTGTGTCTTTAAAGATTAATACGACACTATTTAACCTTTTCTAAAATATCCAACGTTATTAAACGACTTCAAAAGACCGAATTCTAACATCAATTAGGAAGGGATGACAACTCAAGGGATGAGAAAGCATTTAAACTATTTCTTATTCTCACAAAGCTGTTTCCTTTAGACTCCCAGCTTTGCTCACTGCTTCTGCTCCAAGGCCTTGAGAACAGATGAGCCAAATATGCACCTGACCAAATATTAACATCCTCTCAGGAGGCTTTGATGTGTCACAGAGTTGTGTCAACCAACTTCCTCCAAGGCTGTGACTCAGCCTTTAGGAAACAAAGCAGAGGCACCGAGTGATGCCGAGCTTAGAGCGGGATCAGGATCGGGATCCGAGCCCTGCCAGGGGCACCTTGTCGGGTTTTTGGCTGTTTGGAGGGCCTGGAAAGGCCCGGGGTGGCCTTGGGGCAGCCGCGTATCGAAGGACGAGAAGAGGCTTCAGTTCTTCTTTCGGTTTTTATGTTTATTAATTGTTTATCTAAAAGATTTTCTTTCAGCCCGACAGAGCTCTGCTCAGCAGCCAGCCATGAGCACACTGTGCTGCCCTCCGGACAGTCACCTATCTTTATACCCATGGTTACGTGTACAATATTTATCATTTTTCCCCAATACCATTTATTCTTATTACCCGGTGCACTTTCAGTAATAACCAATCCAAAAGTGCCACCATCACCACAGAAGATGGAGGAGAAGAAGAAGAAGAAGAAGGACAGGACACGCCCCAATTCCTCCATCTTACTTCTCTAAACCCCCCTGTACAGAAATCCTAAACCCTGTGTCTCACCCTCTAATTAACTAATCCCTTCACCATTCACCCCGGTGAAATCCTCCTATCCTCATACAGGTGTCATCTCCTGTGTAGGATCAAAGTCCAGCCACCAGACACTTCTGGAACATTCCAGGACTCCCGAGCCCCCCAAGGGTGCTCTCGGTGGCTCAGCACCTCAGGACTCAGATCCTGAGATCCCACAGCACCTGGGCTTCACCCTGCTCCTGAAACGTGGGGTTGAAGGTCCCAGCATGGTCTGAGGGGTGTGATCCTCCCAGCAGGGGTGTGCTGGGACACAGCAAAGACAAACCCAAGAGCTGGTGCCGTGTTAGTGCCGCGAGAATTCAGCGCACAAAATGCAGTCCCGTAAATCAAGGGGGGATTGGTGACCTGCTCTGCCCCAGAGCAGCAAAATCCTGTCCAAATCAGAGACAGGACAGCAAGCACTGCTGCTGGGTGAGCCTGAATACATGTGATATATCCCTGGGTTTTCCTACTGTTATATTTTGCATTTTGTCCATGAAAAATTAATTTTGTTCACATTCTTCTCTAACACAAATGTTTTTCTCTCTAACAGAAAAATCACGAGTTTATGATTTCCCACAGAAGTTGTTATGCTGGTAAAATAGGTTGTCTTGTTCTAACAATCAAATTGCCTTGTATTTTCATCTCCTTTCTGCAAGTGCTTTCTCCTTCCTAAGTAAAATATTCTGCATTCCTCTCACTTTATGCCAACTGTTACCTACAATTTGACTTCCACTGAACATTAATTGCAATTGTGAAGAAGCTAAACAACTGATAAATATTTATGATAATCGTAGTCTCTATTATTGTTTAATACACTGCTTTTGGAAAAAAGTACAAACACTTCCTACCTTTTGAACATCAGCATCGTGCTTCTGTTGTAATTTCAGTTTTTCTTCATGAAATTTACCTTCTGCTATTTTCATTTTCATTTCCAGCTTTAAAAGCAAAACAGAATAGATACATGATTTAAATAAAGAATAAATTACACCAATGACCTTTTCACAACTTTTTAATAATTCATTTATGTCTTTCAGAAGGCAATGGGAAGTCACCAACAAAGAAACCTTATGAAAAAAATCTATATTCAGTTTCTCAACATTTTCATATTTATTCGATACAATTGTTACCAAAGATGTCATCCTACAACATTTCTTCAGAAAAATGGATCTGTAGGATGTTTTAGTTGGCAACAAGCACAACTGCTACTGCCCAGAACAAGTCATCAACCTTAATTTAAATAAACACTTAGGAATAAAACTTTAATATTTCTGTTAATATACCAAGTTTGGTAAATTCATTTTCATTTCTTCAGGCAGGTGTCACATTTACACAAACAATGTCCTTTAGCCCAGATGCACATTTATTTTTGTTTGTTTTCCATTATTCACGGAGTTCACATTATAAACACATTTCCTTTTAAAGGTGACTTATGATGGGATTAAGGATTGGATCACTGAAATACATTTCCTGTTCTGCCTGTGTTTGTTCAAAGCTGTACTTGAACCCCTCCAACACAAAAATACACTGCCAATTCTTACTCAGAATCTAAGTTTCCATCTTTCAAGTATTTTTTAATCTCTTGCATGTTAAAGGCGGTCTTCAGGACAGCTATGAGAGGAATTTCAGTCTCTCAGGCTTTTCTAGAAACCAAAAGTGACACCTTGAGTTCAGACTCAGGCTGTTCCACTCCTACATTTATTAACAGTCACTGTTCAGAAAGCCAAGTGGACTTGGAAGTTTTTCCAGAAGACAAATTCTGATCCCCCTCACTTTAGAAAGGGAGCACCAAACTCCCTCCAGGAGATGACTCCAAGTGGTCTTTGGCCAACAGAAAACTTTGTGTTTGACTTTTGGGTGTTCTGAAAGGTGCTGAGGTCCCCCAACCTCAACACTGCACTCCCATCACCGTCCAGCCACTTCCAGCTCTCACATTTTTATTTAGCTCAACTCAGAACATGACTTGTAATATCCCAACTCACAAACTCCACAGGAATTAACAGCATTATTCATTCTGCCTTTATTTTCCATGCCCCTGACTAATCAAAAGTTGCCATTCAAGCATGAGTCTTTATCTCACACAGACCAACACTAAACACAGTACAAATTATTCATTTTTTATACGACTCATTTGTCTTACAGGTTTGTTGGGACTTGAAAACATCACAAGGTCATCATGACTTGAAAACATGGGCTACAAAAACCCAACTTAACTCAAAAATGTTGTGCAGGAGACACAGAGGGCTCCTCAAGAAGAGAAAATAGAAGGAAGAGCAGAAAATTGTTTAATTTTCTGAACTCATCAACTGATGAGTTGTACCAACAACCCCTTATTACACCACAGATAAAGAAATCCACCTCCCAACTGTTTGCACACAGACTTATGCAAATTAATGGAGGAGAAAAAAAAAAAAATTAGGTTGACAATTAATCCAAAGAAAATAAATCATATTCCCAGCTGTCAGCCAACGCTTTCATCTTCCCAAAATAAGCATTATGATAAAAGTGTGTCTTCTATCCATGAAATCTACACATATGTATATATGAAAAGAAATATATGCATATATCACTGCAACAAAGTGACATTACAGAAGAAAATCTTAGTACCAGGTGATGAATAAGTGTTGATTTAATAAAAAGAGCACAGTAATCCACTTCCAGATAGACAGCTTGTGAACATGCCATAAATAAATATGAAGGTCTCCTAACAACACAAATACCAGAAACTAAATATGAAAGAGACTCCAATCTACTTGAATTACATTAAAAGCTTATGAATGACTGAGGTACAGCTACTGCTCTCACACAGCTACTAAATCCACCCAAATTACATTTTAAACTCATTAAAAACATCAGAATGTCTTGGCTGATGGAAATGAATCCTTGGTGGTTTTATCATCCAAGAGCTGGTCTAGGTTTTATTATTCTGTACACTGAAATAATACAAAAATAAATCAAAATCGAGAATTTCACTCAGATTAAAGATGGACATCCATATTTTCAAGTGCTCCTGACTGTTCTCAGCCACAGGATGACACATAACTCCCTGTACTTGAAGCTGGTTCCCACTTCTCATTAATCCTCCCCCTAGCACCACCCTCACACTTGCACCAGTTCCCATCAATTTTAGCTCATTAATTCATTACACCCCTTCCACCACAACAGCCATCTCTTAAAATGTCACAGTTCTGGGACTGCTGTCCAAAAAGGAGAGCTAATTGCAACCAAACAACTGGAAAATGTGCCCAAGATACAGAAATCAGCCCTTAACGAATGCAACCACTCTAATAACACAGTAGGTTGCTTTTCCTCTGAATATTAGAAATAAAATAATAAAAAAATAGGTGAAAAATCACAAAGTCCAACTCCTCATCAGGTGAGGGCTAAAATGGGGTCACCTTGAAAAGTACTCAAGGTCCTCAACTTGCATAACCTTAATGAAGTTTCAGCACCACAGGCACTTTTCTGCTCCATGTGCTTCATCCACAACTTTGCTAATTTTTAGGAATCATTGCTTTGCTCACACATCTTCAGCTCCACAATCTGAGATAAAATTTTCTAATTTTATCTCTACATATAAAGATATGTGAGAAGTCCCATATTAAAGTGTCTGAAATTCAACAGTTGATGTGCACATGAAGTTCTCAGCTAGTGTTAAGAGAAAAGCTGCGTTTGTACTGACTAACTGGTAAAAAAAAATAAAATTAAAACTCTCCAACAGCATTTAAATTTTGTAATGGTCCATAGTTCCAACCCTACGTGTATCTTCATCACAACTTCTGGATGTGTTCATTTGAGCACTTGATGTAAAAATAGTGATATATTGGTTTAAAAATCCAACACTCAATTTCTTGAGCGGAAAGCTGGCAGCAAACATGAGGACAACACCACAGCGTCCTACAGCAAAGCCTGGAGGACTGGTTTCATCTCCAAATCTGCTTTTTGACCCACCCTCTCTCTGAGGCAGACTCCCAATCTCACTGCATACGTCGATGAAAATTGAGTCATGTAAACACGTTTTGTGCAGTGATCTCATGCAGGCCGGGGTGGAAGCAAAAGGGCTCAGCTCTCCCAGCTGGGAGTGAAATCCCCGTCCATTTGAAAGCTGAAGCACATCATTAAACACTAATTTCAATCAAGGAATATCTTTCCAATTAAAGCCACACCAAACCGAGGTGGAGCCTGTGCACAGATCCCAAATGTCAAATCTCAGCTTGTCCCAATTTCCTGTGGGACAGCCCTAGGTAACTGCATGTGCTGCTCTTCCATGCACTTCAGCTTGGCTTTATTTATTAAACACATATTAAGAAACAAAATAACCTACAGCAGCACCAAAGAGCTTCACACGTTTTGGAGATACCAGATAAAACCAACTTTTCTAAGTCGTTCACTTCGTTAAATGCAATTTACGGCGCTCGCGCTCGTTGGTTTTCATATCTTTTATCACCAGTTAGGAGGCAGCAGAGAATATGAAATTTATAGCATGTTACCATTCAGACAAGGAAAAAAAAGTGTAGATATTTAGCTATAGTTGGGAAGTTTGCAACTATGTATGAAACGCAGCCATTGCTGTTGGCTGAACATCATTCCTTTGGATTTCTGTCATTGTTTATCCTCCTCACAAAGAGAATGAGGCAATTAAACCCTAAGGCCATGTAAACAATACTGATGTCAAACATCTGTGCTGTCCCTGTTATTTAAAGCCATGAAGGGTGGTAGCAGCAGAGCTGCTTTTATGTGCCTAGTCACACTTTCTTCCTCATTTAAAACAACAAAACAGCACCAAAACCATCAAATAGTTACCTGAAAATGGGGTTTTGGGGTTTCACTGTCCTGATCCCACAGCACAGCTCAGGTGTTAGCAACATTTAATAACTGTCAGGCTTAAACTGACACAATCTCATCTGTCATAAATCTCCAGGGGATGGGGGAAAAGTGATCTCTCCTTTTTTCATGACAGAGGATGAACATTTATCTTGCCACCATTTACAGAAATTTGTCGAACTATTGAAATACCTGATTTCAAAGCAAATCAATAAGTGGGTTAACAATATGAATCACTGAACTGCTGCCCACTTGTCTCCATTCCAGGGCTCACCCTCAGGCCAGGGGGACATCTCAGAGCTTTAACATCCATCCAGTTGGGGGTTTTGGCTATTTGACAAAACTGAACTTGTTGCTTGCCAGGTTTTTTTTTTTTTTTCCAAGTCTATGAATAAATGGGGGAGGGAGGGAGGAAGCGAGGAAGGGGGAGAAGGATGTAAACAATAAATGAGAACTTCAAAGTAAGAACTAACAATGCAGAACAATGACTTGTATATCTTACAGTACACGACCAAAGTTATTTGTCTTGGTGTTCTGCAGCTGCTAAAAGGAATCAGTGCACAGCACACAAAGCTTTGATATTTCCACAGAAGAAAAAGGTTTCTTCAAAAATATCAACAAACAAGTCAAACTTTCTACCAAATTGTGCTTACTCAATATTCACATGCGGGGTTAAAATAATAAATATTGATAATTTATACAGTGTTTTAAACCATACAGGAAGGCCAAGACAGAAGAGACTGGACTTGCAAAACAGTCAAGATTTATTATAAATACACACTGACTTCAGACTAAGGTAATTTGGAACAGTGGATTTCACTTGATCATTAACAAGCTGTCTGATCTCATTGTGTCGTTTCTGTATCACACTGTACCCTCAAAAATTTTTAAGATTAGCTTTGAGGTATATTAATACTTTCCACATTTTACAAAAAAGACTCAGAGTATTTAAAAGAAAATCACTGGTGTGCAAAACAGGAAAAAATTCTAATTCATAACAATATCCTTGAAGAGAAGTTTCAATAGTAAACTTTAATAATATAGGAACTAATCAATAGTAAATTTTAATCATATTGGAACTAATCTTCCATTCTCAAATAGAATAGCTGAAAAC